AATAAAATTTGTTAGAGAGAGAGAGAGAGAGAAAATTATAATAATGATGATGATGATGAAATTATTTTCAATTGTAAATACATGCGTGTAACGTACACGTTCGAACGTGACGTAACAAGCCGCCATTTTTTTTCGATTTTTTCGTGTGTTTGTTCTATACGTTTCGATTCGACAATTAAATTTTTTTTTCTCCGAGGGGGGAGGAGGAGGAGAAGGGGAAGGAAAAAGGGAAGAAGGAGAAGGGAAAGGGGGAGAAGGAGGGGAGAGGATTTTCCATCTTTGTCGCATCATATGTCACATTTATTAACACTTAATAAAATGACAAGGTCCGCGAGATTATTTTTAGAAGTGATAACACATAATAAAAGGTATTACGTAAAAAAAAAAAACACGTTTTAATTATTTATCCATATTTACGTGTGTGTGTGTGGGTGTGCGAGTGAGTGAGTGAGTGAATGGGCGACCGATTTTATTAACAAAAAAAAAAAAAAAAAAAATAGGAATCGATAATATTAAGGCCCCCCCCCCACTTCTTTCGCGTTCGCGTGTGAATGGATTAGTCGTTGAAAACAAAACAAAAAACGACAAGGAGAATCGAATAGAAAACAATTAAGAATCGATATTGTTGTTGTTGTTGTTTGTTGTTTGTTGTCATTTTTAAATTGTTTTGGTTGGTTGCCTTAGAGATGCACGTACACGAAAATAACTTTTTTTTTAAAGGTCAAAGATTGCGGAAATTAAAAAAAAAAAAAAAAACAAAATCAAGTTTTTTTTTTAAAAAAATTTTTACGGTGAAAGGTGGAACGAAAAAAAAAAGAGGAAATTGCATAATTTCTAAAAAAATGAAGTTCAGGATTAATAATAATAATAATAATAATAATAATAATAATAATAATAATAATAATAAAAAGGGGGGGGCGAGTCTTTCGTATAAGTCAGAAAGGGGGGCCTTAAGGAACGAAAAATCATTTTTTTTGTTTTTTTTTGTTTTTGTTTTTTTTTTATTTCAAGGCTTTTTATTACAATAAAAAAAAAATTTATCGAACCTGAAATATCACAGGTTTAATATCATGCAGGATCGATTTGTAGGTGTTTGAAAATCGGAAAAATCGCACATTTTTTTAAAATAAAATTTTTGAATGCGATTATGACGTTGTTGATTTGTTCGTTTGTTAGGTTTACAATTTAAATTAATGAAACGCAAACAAACAAACAAACGGGCAAACAAACAAGTCGATCGAGAGACAACTTTGAAAAAGTGCTTCGAAACCATTAAAAAATAATAATAATTTTAAAAAAAAAAAAAAATACATTAAAGTCACGGATGCCTTTTGGTAATCCGCCATTTTTGTTTTTCTTTTTTTTTTTTCTAATTTGAAATTATATAGAATTAAATAGAAAATTTTTTTTTTTTTATCGAAAGGGGTTTGAAAATTATTGTTTTTTTTTTTAATGAAAAATTTGACATTCGATCGCGTTTTTTTTCTACTTCAAATATTTCCAATATGGTAATTTTTTACATTTTAATTATCGAACCGTGAAAAAAACCAAAAAAAAAAAAAAAAACGAAAAAAAAAACAAGTTCAATATGCGATTTATAATTTAACAAAGAAAGGATAAAGAAAAAGAAAAA